TTTTTGGGGGGGGGGGGGGGGGCGAGAGAGAAGGGGGGCGAGAGAGGGAAGAGAGAAGGGCGGCGGGGGGCCTCGCGGTAGGTGGTTCACCGTGTCGAGAGGCGGGCCGCGCCACAGCAGCCACGCGGTCTGGGCGAGGAAGGTGGCCGCGGCGAGGGGGAGGAAAAGCAGGAAAAGGGGGGCTTCGCCGCCCTCACCGCCGCCTCCGCCGCCGCCGCCGCCGCCGCCGCGCGAAGTCTCGCGGAAGGAGGAGAGAATGAGGGCGAGCACGGCGATCGGGAGCGCTGGCACGAAGGAGGAGGCGGCGGAGGCGGCGAGGGAGAGGAGGAGCAGCAGCCGCGAGAGGAGCAAGAAGGCGGCGGTCAAACGGCTCGGCGGCGGCTCGTCGATCGGCACGACGGTGACCTGAGGAGAGGGAGAGACCACGCGGGGGAGGGGGGGCGTCTCTCGGCGGTGTCTCGGCGGCATCTCTCGACGGCAGATCTCGATGCGACGTGTCTCGTCTCTCGGCCTTGATGCGCAGAGCGGCCGAGGAGAGTGATTAGCCGAGGAGAGTGGCTAATAACTACGACTGATTGTGAGTGGCCTTGAAGAGCAGCAGCAGCCCGCCGGAGAGGAGGCAGAGCAGCGACACCGCGACCGGCGGGAGGAGAGAGAGGTCGGGCAAGCTGCCGCCGCGCTGCAGCGCCGTCGGTGTCTCGTGCAGAAGCGCGAGCAGCCCCTTGACGGTGAGGCCGTGCGCGAGCAGCAGCCAAGCGAGCTCGAGTGCGGGGCACGCGGCGAGCGCCTGTGGACGGCGCGGCGCGTGAAGAGAGGAGTGTCTGACTGTCACTCGGCTGCCGTGCGATTTCGGGCCCGGCACTGTGTGCTTTTGTGTGGAGAGAGAGAGAGAGGCGTCCGACTCACGGCTGGGCGGCGGGGCGGGGGCGCCGCAGCGGCGAGCCAGAGCGGCGAGGAGGAACTGCGGCCGCGCCCGACCGCCCACGCGGCGAGAGCTGCGGCGGCGAGGGCGGGCGAGACATGCGAGACCTGCGGGAAGGTTCCGGGACAACAATGCAGGAGCGAGGGTCGGAAGAGGCGAAGGGCGGTCGAGACGCAATCGGGCCGACGAGGCGAGCGCGGCGAAAAAGGTGATGGCGAGGGCGAGCTGGCAGCGTTGCGCCGCCTCCTCCTCCATCCGCCTCTGCCAGAGCACGTGCGCCATCGCCTCGAGACGCACCGCGCCGTACACCTGCTCGCGCAACCCACCCGTAGTGAGAGGGCCGCGCAGTCGCAGCCCCGCGGCCGCACGCCGTGCTGCGCCTTGAGCATGACAGGGACGAGGCAGACCTTGATGGCCGCCGAGGCGCCGATCGAGAGGAGCACAGCCCGCTGCCTATCTCGCAGGCAAGGGGCCGAGGTCGCGCGAGGCACGCCCACCCCTCGGCTGGAGCAGCACCGCCGGTTGCCCGAGAGGGAGTGCGGAGGTGGCGGCGCCGTCGCCGTGCAGCGCGTCCACCGCCGCGGCGCCGAGCGGCGTGCGCGCCGCCTCGACGACCCACGCGGCATCGAGCAGCAGCGAGCCGGAGAGCAGGCCGAGCGCCGCGGCGTGCGCCGCCTTCTTGAGGTGCGAGGTCGGGCGCAAGTGTTTCGACTCGTGCAGCCGGCAGACGTAGGCCAGCCATGCGCCCACGAGGGGCGTCGCGTCGAGCCGCGCGTGCGCCGAGACGAGCGATGCGAGGAGGAGGAGGAGGGAGAGGCGTGCACCGACCGCCGCCCAAAAGGCCTCGTGCCGCGTCGCGTGCCGCAAGATGTGCTCGTTGTTGAGCACCACCGCGTGCGTGCGGAGCGAGGAAGCGGCTATGCCGCCGCCGCCGCCCCCTCCTCCTCCGCCACCGCCGGACGATCCAGCGCCATCCTGGGCAAAAGGGTCCTCGGACCCCTCCTCCTCCTCGTCCTCCTCCTCGATGTCGCCCAGCCGCAGCCAGGGAGGCATGCTGCTCTCGCCGGCGCTGCCCCAAGTTGGCTTCACCCACAGCAGCCGCCCCACCTGGTCACAGAAGCCTGTCCTGAAGAGGATGCCCGGCGTGGGCCTCCCCGGCAGCAGCCCGCCCCACCAAGCCGGCAAGAAGCAGCTTGAGGATCGCGGCCAGGAGCACCTGCTCACACCGCAGCGTGATGACAGCGCCGCTCACCGACCGCCGCGCGAAGCGCCCTCGCGCGAGCACCACACACGCCGCTGCGAGCGTGGTGTTTGGCGGCAGCTGCACCGGCTCTTCGTTTGCCAGCTGGCTCCCCATCGCACCAAAGGAGGCCTAGGCGGCGACTGGACTCCGATTGGAAAGGGTCCACTCCAGCTGCGCGCCGCCGCCCTCTCGCCAACGGACGCCTCGGTCTCCATCCAGCGCAAATCGAGGAGGGCGAAGAGGCAGAGGTAGACGAGCGCGGCGACGAGCATGTCGACCTGATCAACAGTCCGAGCGTCGACGACGAACAGAGGTCGGCAGAGGGGGGTGGGATAGCGCCACGACGAGCACCCGCTGCTCGAGCGATCCACAGAGGACGAGCACGGCGGCGAGCGGCGACGGGTCGGCGCCGCCCCGCAGCACGACTGTCAGCGCGGCGGCGGCGAGCACCGCCACCGCCACACGCCTGCTCACAGTCGGCGGGCGTCGCGCCTCTGCGTCGGTGGAGGGGCGAGGGCGGAGGCCGCCGTGTGCCCTGCCCAAGCGGCGAGGGCCGCGGGGCCACCCGCCATCGGAGAGAGGCTCTCCGATAGCGTGCTGAGGCCTGCTCACAGCCGGAGGCGTGAAGAGCGGCCGCGCGGACGGGGGGCTCTAAAGCGAGGAGCTGTCGAGGCCGGTGATGCGGCGGCGGGCCCGGATGGCGGCGGCGAAGTGCGGGAGGAGGAGGAGGGAGACGAACTTGAGCAGCGCCTGCTCGCGCACGAGACCGTGTGTGAGGAGAGACGCCTGCCCTGCCGCGCCCATAGGGGCCGGCCTGCTGGGGGGGGGGGGGGAGAAGAGAGAGAGGAGAAGGAGAGAGAGGAGCGAGAGACGTGTGTGTGTGTGTGTGTGTGTGTGTGTGTGTGAGGAGAGAGAGAGAGGAGAGAGAGCTCGCGCGGTGCCGTGGTGAGGAGGAAGAAGCAGACGCCATACCACCCACTGAGCGACATGCCAGACACCGCCTATGATTGTTGCACGATTTTATGCTGGTTGGTATTGTGATCGCCGCTCATCGACAGGCCAGACGGCGCCTCGCGAGCCACGCAGAGGAGCGAGTCGCCTGGAGGACACGCAGGAGTGCCGCCTGTGAAGAGACGCGCTTCACGCCTCCTTGCACCGCAACGTGGCAATCTCTACCGTCTGGAGACGCCACTGTCAGCCCACCGAGTTGGACAGACCGCTTGTCGGACCGCCCGCCCGCCGCCGCCGACCCGTTTCCCGTCCACGGAGGGACGGAGGCGAGGGCGGAGGCGGAGGCGTTGGCAGCCGCCGCCGCGCAGTCATCGAATATGGTTGCGACGGACGCCGCGTCGAGGCCGAGCGGGCCAATCGCGAACCAAAGAGCGTCTGAGATGTACGACCACCAGAGAAGGAATGTGGCGGCGCCGAGGACGTCCTGCCGCTCCGAGTAGACTGCGTAGAGGCCGACGAGCGCGGTAGGCAACAGAGCTGATGGACGGATGTGCGACTCGACGAGACCGGCGGCGAGGAGTAGTGAGAAGAGAGTCGCGGCGACGGTCGACCAGACCTTCACCCCGGTCTTGACGACGAGGAGATCTTTGAAGGATGCGGATTCCATCGCAGCCGCGTGCGTCGTGGGGCGTTGGCGGCTAGGCAGGTGACTGGTGTGGGCGCTAACGGCGTGTTCCACTGATGCACCAGGGCAAGCGCCAGCGGCGTTTTTTCCCGTGGCCGGTAGGGTAGGTCTGTACCCGCGCGGAGCGCCTCTACATCGCTCTACAACGCAGGCAGTTCGTCCCGCGCCGGATGCAGAGCACTAATTCATGCCCCACCCCTGTGCGCACGGGCCTTCTAGGCCTGCGGGTAGTCTCCCCCCATCCCCAGGGCCTCCCGCGCTCGCACCTCAACCTCTGATTAGCAAAGCCTGGTGAAGGGCATTGAGCGCCTCCCTCTCTCTCCGGCTGCGCGCATGACCGGCGCGGCCTCCGAGTCGGCGTATAGCGCGCGCGATAAGGTTTTTGCTTGCCTTCCCTGGGACCCCGTGTTTGTTGCATGTCTGACTGTCACTGTGCGATTTCGGGGCCCGGGGTTGTGCGTTTATTTGAAGAAGGGGAGTCTTGGGGGCGGGGTTGTGTTTTTGTGTGAAGCAGGGCATCAGAAGGCGGCGCCTTGTCGCTCGCCAAAGCACGCGCTCAGCGCGAGCGAGTTTCAGCTCCGCGCTCGCGGCGGCCCTCAGCTGTCTCCTAGACGAAGAGAAGGCGGCCGCCGCTCTTTTGTACACGGATTTATGGGCGCTTGCGGTTCAAGGACCGGCGGCGACGGCGGCGCCACCTCCGATCGGCCATACAACAGCACCGAAAAGGGCCCCCGGGGCATCCTCGGCAAGGGCTTCCACGACGTGACAATCGACTACAACCTCGGCGTCGAGCTTGGCAAGGGCACCTTTGGGGTGGTGCGGAAGGCGACGTGCGCGAAGACGGATGAGTCGTTCGCTTGCAAAAGTATCGCCAAGCGTCGGCTGCGCACCAAAGCGGAGCGCGAGATGATCAAGCGCGAGGTGGAGATTCAGCACCATTTGGGCGGCCACTCAGGCATCGTGAACATCGTCGAGGCGGTCGAGGATCGCAAGCACGTACATCTCATCCTCGAGGCAAAAGAGCCCTCCGCCCCTCTCCGATTTCCCTCACACGAGTACCGCCAACCTGCGCGCACCACGCTAACTTCGCCCTCACCCACGGAGCCCTACCTTCGCTCCTTCTCACGCAAAAGCCCCGGGCCCGAAATCGCAAGACACAGAGACAGTCAGAACACGGGGCGTCCCAGGGAAGGCGAGCAAAATCCTTATCGCGCGCGCCTCACCTCGGCCAGGAGTGCAGCGGCGGCGAGCTCTTCGACCGCATCCTCTCTAAGGGAATCTACTCCGAGGCTGACGCGGCGGCCACCATCCGCGACATCGTCGAGGTCGTGCGTCTCTGACTGCACACTCCCACTGCTCCCCTCTCCTCCCGCTTTCTTCCGCGTGTGCTCCGAGCCGCGTGCGCCGCCGGGCCGGCTGCTGCACTTTCAATGCCGCGGGGCCTGCCTCCTGCAAATCTCGTGATCGGGAGATAATATGGAGACGCGGGAAGGGGGGGGGGGGGGGGGTGAAGGGGCTCTCCCCTGCACCTCTGGCACAGGCTCTGCGGTGGGAGACCGCATCAGGAAGTTCGTCGCGCTCAACAAGCTGAAGCGGGAGGCCACCACACGCACACACACACACACATACACACACGCACGCACGCGCACACACATACACACACGCACGCACGCACACACACACACACACACACACACACACACACACACACACACACACACACACACACACACGCACACACACACACACACACACACACACACACACACACCTTAAGGCACTCTGCCACGGGGGGCAGCCCCTGTCTCACGACGTGGCGACGTGAGGGAGGCGACCTCGCTGCTCGCCCTAGGCCATTCGGATGATGGCGGCCAGCATGGCGCCGGAGGAGGTCGCCGGCTTGCGCGAGCTCTTCAGCGCGGCGGACGTCAATGACGACGGCACCATCTCCGTCCTCGAGTTGCGAGACATCATGCAGAAGCCCGGCTACGCTGGGATCGGCGAGGAGAGCTCAATCCTCGCAAGCGTGGAGAAGCTCAACGCGCTCCTCAACGAGGCCGACGTCGACGGCAGCGGCAACCTGGACTTGGAGGAGTTCATCGCCGCGACGGTGCGGACAGCTCTTCTGCGCTGCAGCACCTCGACTGTACTCGACCTCGTAGTCCTTCGGCCACAAACCTCGGCCACACCTCGGCGCCGCGCGGGTACCGTACGGGGGAGGGCAATCTGTGACACGGGGCGTCCGAGCAAGCAACCGGCACGAGTGAGATCCCCCGAGATCCCCCGAGGCCGGAGATCACCCGGCCGCGAACACCCGACGACCCCAGGTGCACACGAGCAAGTTGTACAAGGAGGAGAAGCTGCGCGACACCTTTGACAAGTTCGACGTCGACGGCGCGCCGCATGCCCTAGTGGTCCACGCCTCGTGCCGCGTGTCGCGCGGACCCTCGGCGAACTCTGCCGGCTGTTAGGCTCTGGCTTCCTCTCGCGCGAGGAGATCAAGGCAGCCCTGAACGAGAGGGGGCTCAACGAGGCCGGGCTGCAGGCGCGCCCGAGGCCCGCTCTGGCGCACAGTCACTATAGATTTGGGCGCTCCGCCCCCCCCCCTCTACGGCCCGAAACGGCTGCGCGACTTGAGAGCTCCTGCCGGGTTGCTGCGTTAGGGGATCTTCGAGGAGGTGGACACCAACAACGACGGCAAGGTCGACTACGACGAATTCTGCTCCCTCATGCGCGCCGGCGACCCTGTTTGCTCGGGTACGGGCATGCGCTCGAGCATCCGATTCTCTTTCACCTCGGATTAAATCGAGTTCCTGATCGGGCGCCGACGCGTCCTCCCTGGCGCTGAAACAAAGCTCTGCGGACCGGGGGCGCTGTCGCGACGTGTCACGGTCATGTGCATGGGAAATATGTGTGACAGTTTTCACCCGACATCCTCACATGTGCGCGTTTTTTGTGCATTTTTTTTTTGTGTGATTCTGATTGCTCACAGATGTGGGTTTCTGGTAGTTGCGTGGGTCGACTCGTCGCTTGTGCAACTGCAGTTTTTGTTTTCACCTCAAACAGCTTGCATCTCCTGCCTACTTTTCTATGGGTCAGTGGTTGGCTTCATATGTTTGTTTCAGGAGTGGTCCTAGGATCCTTCTTTCCCTCTCATGTACAACCTTTCTTCGCCAAACATCAGCAGCTACTCAAAATACTGACTCACGCCAGCTTATGCTATGTCTTACTGACCTCGCCTTTGAAACTCCATGTTCTTAGGAACGAACGGCGGTGAATCGCCGACAGGTGCGCCTTCGTTCCTACCACCACTCCCACCACCGCCAGCTCCGCCGTGGACCTTGCCGGGCCCTCTGATGATGTAGTACCGTGGAGCAGTTCGTCCGAGCTCTGCTGTGGCGCCAGCTCGGTGTACAATACGGACGAAGACGGCCACAGCAACGGTGTAACCAGCGCGAGCAGGCAGCGCGAACCGCTGTGCCTCGGCGCGCCGGCCGCCGAAATCCTCTCAGAGTTCTTGGCATAGGGGAACCCCAACCCTAAATTTTCTTCGCCTGCGGCGGGCCATCACTTGGATTCGCTGCTTTCGGATTCATTAGCTCTTTCGCACGCCTTTATCCGTCACTCCCCCGAAGATTGGAGGTGTCGATTTATGCACAAATCTATGTGTTGCGAGCGCTAGATGGCGAAATTTTCTTCGCCTCCGGCGGGGCCGCTCGCCGCGGGGCGAGAGAGGGACTTTTGTCGATGTCGGCTAGAAGTGCTGCACCTTTTTGAGAATTTCACCCCTCTCCCCTCTCCGCGCTGCCGCTCTGCGCTCTCCAGTCTCCAGGACCAGCGCGGACTCACAAAAGCATTCCAGGTACCCTATTTCAGCGACTTTGGAACCTGTTGATTTATCCAATGAAAGCACTCAACTCTCTCAAGAGAGTCCGATTGTTCATGTGCACCTCCCTGCGCCGACTCCGCACTCAGAGCCCACTCACAGACCTGGTTATTGAGCTCACATGTTGAGCTTGAACCCTTCCCGCCCGCTCACCGCATCTCGAATCACTCTGCCCCCCTCGTCGCCCAAACTGTTGCCGCGGAGGGCGATGTTGTTCAGCACCTCATTGACCGCGAGCGCCTCGCCGATCGCCTTGGCGCCCTCGGGGCCGATGCCGTTGTAGGAGAGGTTGAGGATGTTCAGCACGCCGTTGACCTCCAAAGCGGAGGCCAGCGCGGTGGCACCCTCGTCGCCGATCTCGTTCCCGCCGAGGTCCAACTCGGTCAATACCCCGTTGAAGCGAAGAGCGGAGGCCAGCGCGGTGGCGCCCTCGTCGCCGATGTCGTTCCACCTGAGGTTGAGGTTGGTCAAGACCCCGTTGACGCGCAGAGCGGAGGCCAGCGCAGCGGCGCCCTCGTCGCCGATCTCGTTCCCGCCGAGCCACAACTCGGTCAATACCGCATTGACCTTGAGGGCGTCCGCGAGCGCAACGATGCCGGACGCATCGTACTCACCATCACCGTCCTCGTCAATGCCGCATATCTCGTTGCCGCTCAGGTCGAGGGTGGTCAGCACCGCATTGGCGCGCAGCGCCTCGGCAATCGCGGTCGCGCCGGTTGGCCCGATTTTGTTGCCGCTTACGTCCAAGGACGTCAGCACCGCGTTGCCGGCAATCAGCGACATGAGCACCTCGTTGACGCGAAGAGCGGAGGCCAGCGCAGTGGCGCCCTCGTCGCCGATGTTGTTGTTCATGAGCGCGAGGTTGGTCAGCACCCCATTGATGCGAAGAGCGTATGCTAGCGCCTTGGCACCCTCGTCGCCGATGTTGTTGTCCCGGAGGCTGAGCGCTTTCAGCACCTCGCTGACTGAGACGATGTACGCCACGACGGTGGCGTCCTCAGCATCCAAATTCTTCTCGCTCCAGTCTAGGCGATCACTCTTGAGCGCCCCCTCCAACAAGCCCCCAACTTTGACAAACAATCGGTGGAAAGCCGCAACCGACGGCTTCGAGAAGGCGGCCCATCGAGAGCGGTCGACAGCCTCGTCCGCCAGCCCCTGCTCCAGCAACCCTGCTGCCGGCCGCCGCCCCGGGCTCTCCTGCAGACATCCCTCGACCCACGAGCAGAGCCGCTCACTCGCAGACTTGCCCTCGGTGATCGCGCGCTGCCGCTTTGCCGCGTCGAGCGCTACGTTGCCAATCGTGCGACCAAGCAGCAGCTCCGCGAGGATGCAGCCGGCGGCCCACACGTCGTCCGGCGGCCCGTACCGCTTCCCAACAGCCTTTTCGGGCGACATATAGACGTCGGTGCCCACCCTGGTCTTGGTACGCGAGCGGTGCGAGGCGGAAGAGACGCACGCGAGCCCAAAGTCGATGATCTTTGCGCGGCCCGTCGAGTCGAGCATCACGTTGGCCGGCTTGAGGTCGCGGTGCTGCAGGTTGAGCGAGTGCATGTACGCGAGGCCGGACGCAACCTGTCGCATCAGCGCTGCCACCTCCGCTGGTTGCAGCGGCGGCGCGGCGGCGATCTTCTCGGCAAGAGAGCCGCCGGTGAGAAGCTCTGTGACTATGACGAAGAGGAGGCCGTCGTCGGTGTCGTGCCAAAAGGCGTCGTAGAAGCGCAAGGTGTTCTCGTGCTCGAGCAGCGAGAGTAGGCGCGCCTCGTTCTCCAATACGGAGCCGTCCAGCTCCTCCGTCTCGATCATCTTGATCGCGTACCGTCTCGCATCAATCCCAGCAACCTTGCGCATTCGGTAGGTCACGCCGAAGGATCCCCTGCCGAGCCGCGCAGCGAGCTTGTCCTTCTGGCTGGGAGGCGCGTTCGGCTTGCGGTCGTACTCGTAGAGCGACAGTCGTGAGCTGTGCACTGACTCCGAGGCGGCACTGCCCGTCGACAACTTCTCCATCATCGTTTTGATCTCGTCCAGCTTCACGCCCGTTGACGCAAAGCCCTCACGCATCTCAGAGCGGAGCTCCTCTTGGAACTCGGCGTCCGACACGCCCGAGGCGACGGCGATGCCACGCACGACTTCGGAGTCCTTCTCGAGCGCATTCGCGTCGACAGCCTCACCCATCGCCTTCCGCTCGGCCACCTGCCGCAGTACCTCCGCCTCGACAGCATACTCGCGCGCCTGCAGCTGGGCGTCGATGCGCGCGTCGCGGGTGAGATTGTAGAACTTGAGCAGCAAGTCGAGCTGGCCAGTGATCTCGGAGTCGAGCTGCGAGAGCGTGGTGCGCCTTCCTACGTTGAGCGCGTGCCACAGCCAGCCCTGCTTGCCAAAGGCAGCAACAGCCGAGCGCACGTCTTCGAGCAGCCCCTGCAGCTCGCGCATCCTTCCCTCGACACTTTCACGGCTCGACACGTCCATGCGTTCCACATTGTTGGCCATGAGCTGCAGTAGCTCGAGGATGTCGACCGTGCGCTGGGCAACCACTAGGACATCGTTGATCACCGTTCTCGACTTCTGTACGACTTGAAGAACGTCGCGAGCTGCTCCGCACACAGCGGGCAGGAGAGGTAGCCCGGCGCGCTCGCCGAGCAGAAAGAGAGTGTCGACGAGGCGCAGCCCGATGTCGACCTTGCCGAGCGCCCGCTCCGCGGACGCAAGGCGCTCAATTCCCCGCTGGGGACGGTCGTCGTCAGGTTTGACTGGCATTGCGAGCACCGATGCCCGACAGGGCCGGCGTGTCGCGTGGTGAGCACCTGCCTGGTTGGTCGCAATGGCCAATGCCTAAGGAGCGACGCTGAATGCAGGGGACGTTCGAGTTCATGCGTACCTAGGTACTGCAAGGAACGGGATCTAGAGAGTACGCATGTGTGTAGAGTATGTTGTTGGCTATGGATGGCTGTCGTGGATGGCAGGACATTTGTTTATGTTGTTTCGGAGACGAAACACAGTGAAGAAATCTCTCTCTTTCTGGCTTGTCAGCCGCCCCACCCACCGAGCGAGGGCACCATGAAGTATAGCGATCGCCATCTCGCTGGCCTCTCCGCAGGGCCCCCCGACCGCGTCGAACTCATCGGCGCGGGCGCTCTCGGCCGGCTACGGACGGGACCGGCCCCAGCTTCGGCTGAGGGCTGGCTGACAAGCTGCCGAGCCCAAATCACTGTGAGAGTCGTAATTTCTTGTTGGTTTTCAAAAATCTCTCTCACTCACAACATGACATGCACAACATGCACATGCACAACAACAACAACAACACATGTACATGTGCATGCACATGTGCCCGTATGTCCGTCGGTCCACTATCTCCCTCTTCTCCGTGTCCTCTGCCGCCTCCGTTCGCACCGTGTGCATGCATGGCCGAGTTCGCACCGCGTCCCGCACCACTTTCGAGGCGTCCTCCGTGTCGTCAAAAAGAAAAGAAGACGACGGCCAAGCCAAGGGAGGGATGGGAGGACGGCACGCCGCCACCACACAGGTCCTTCGGGCCAGTTGGGGGGGGCAAACCCTGCCCGGCCCCTAGGACCCCAGGTAAGGCCCAGGTGTGGCCTAGGGCATCAGAAGGGACCAAGAGGAGTCCAGTCTGAGCCATAGAGCCCATGTCTTTGCCCCCGAAGGTCGCGTTCAAATGCCCGGAACGGACGTTACAGTGGTGTCCGGCCGGCGCGATCACCGAGCTGTGAGTGACGCTCAGGGAAGCCCGATGAGGTGCTGGTTTCTTTGCCCAGGGCTGGCCTTCCCCCCAGGCTGGATCAGCTGAGCAAGGTTTGGGGAGAATCCCCCGGTCAGATCTTCAGATATTTTGACGAATGACCAAAATCACCCCGTTTTTGCCCATTTTCATTGTGATTTTTGTGCATTGTGATTTTTGTGTGATTCTGATTACATATGTGTGGCAAATCACTGCAATCTGCATCATTGTTCATTCTCAAGTCGGATCGTATTGTGTTTCTTTGTTAAAGAGGACAACAAGAGCGGAGTAGCGAAAAAAGCGAGAGTGTGAGCTACGGCTCTAGCAACTCTCGTGCGCTTTTTGCCTTCGGCCCGACTCAGCGGGCCTACGCCCCAAGCTCCTCCCAGCGATCGCTGCACTCGCCCCTTTTGCGGCCGTGGCACAGCCACACGGCGCCCCCACCGTGCGCCGCGAGCGCCGCCATCAGCTCGCTCGCCGACGAGCCGTGCGTCCCCACCATCAGCTTTGCGCCTACGCGCCCGTCGGCCCTCGGGTAAGCTCGTGCGATCTCGCGCGATCTCGCCTCCCGGGCGGAGGCGCCGCTCATGTGCGCCAGCTCCGAGATGAAGGAGTTTTGGTACCTGACCGCCGCCGAGCGTGAAGGGTTGGCTCCACTTGCAGGGACTGCTCAGGGGGCGGTGGCGCAAGGGGATTTGGCGCAAAGGAAGTCGGCCCCTTCCACGCCCTGGGCTGGGGGGGGGGGGGCACCGGCCGTGCCCTGCATCGATCGATCTCCTCTCCTCGACATCCTCGCGCCGCTGCAGCGTCTTCACCTGGCAGCGCGCGCCTAACCTCGGCTGACCTCGGCTGATCTCGGGCGATCTCGAGGCCCTCTTGACTCGGCAGCGGCGCACTCAGTCGCGAGAGGTGCCGCAGTGCAACCTGCGGGAGGGAGGGGAGGGGTGAGGCGCCAAGCCGGTAGAGAGGGAGACGGGCTCTTGTGGCTGCTCCGCTGGCCGGCCCCGGACGTGGTGGCGTCTCGGAGGGGGTGGGCATCGTGTCGGAAGTCTCTCTCTCGCACGGTGTGCGTCTTACGGAGCTGTGTGTGCGTGCGGCGGCGCCTCGAATCGTCTAGGGAGCGTCGAGGAGGGGTCTAGGGAGTGTCGAGGAGGGGCCTGGGGAGAGTGAGAGGAGGGGTCTGGGGAGTGTCGAGGAGGGGTCTGGGTGGTGTCGCGCCTCGACGTGGTCGCTCGCCACAAAGGCGCGGCACGGCGTGTCGGCGGGCAGCTTGGAGAGCGCCAAGTCCTCGATGTTTTGCAGCAGCTGCGCCTGCACCACACGACGGCGCCGAGTGACGCAGAGGTCTGCGGCAGAGCGAGAGCGCCAACCCACGCGGCGATACGCCGCGCTGCCGCAGCCTCTCGGCTAGACGAGTCTCGGCTACCGTCGGCTAAAGATCGCCTGCCGCGGCCTCCCGCCGGAGCGCACGCTGCCCAAGTTGATGCGGGCATGGATACCAAGGTCGACGCGCTGCTGCGCTCGCCGCCGGTCGGCCGCGCGCGCAAACGTGAAGAGCCGGTGGAACGCGCCGCCGTACGCGTACGCGCTGCCTATGGCAGAGGCCGAGGGGGCGGCTGCAAGGAAAGGGCTTCGAAGGGAGAGAGCCGGCCGCGGCTGCTGCGTGTCTAGCGCCGTTGGAAAAGATGTGGCGCAGCCGCCCGCGGATCGGCTCGGGCGCGCGCGGCGAGTCTGCGAGCGCGGCCGACATCACAGGCCGCTCCATCCGGCCGCAAAAGACGTAGGCACTCGCGTTGGGCGCGGGCTGCCAGTCGTGCTGCCGGAGTGCCCTCTCAATCTCGGGGACGTGGTTGCGCCAGTTTGGCCACTTGCTGAAGGGGTAGGCCCACTCGGCGCGGCTGCACGACGGAGGCAGTGCGTCCGCCCTCCGGACGGACGGCGAGCGCGTGAGGAACCGGTCGCACTCGAACTGGACGGATCGGGGCGGTGGCATCGTTGGCGGTGGCGGAACTAGCGAGAGGGAAGGCGCGCCCGCGTGTGCGAGAGTGTCCGACAGCGCACCAGGCCATTCTCGATGTTTGGGTGCCAGAGGAGAGGCACGCCGTAGGCGCGCGCGCAGAGCTCGGCGTTGAGCAGCACGTGCACTCGATTCCCCACCTGCTGCGGGCAGTTGTAGTCGCCGACCACGCCGGTGCATGCGGTTGCCATGGAGTTTCTGGCCGCAACGAGTTTCAGCGGGTCTGAGCCGTGTTCGCGGGACGTGTTCGCAGGGCCTCTTTTGTTCTTTTTTACCTTCTCTCAGACCGCCGCCGACGCGGCGCGGGGCCGCTGTCGGCGCTGCTGCCGCGCACGCTGCGCTGTGGGCGTCATCATCGTGTCCTTACCGCGTCGCCGACGCCACTTGCGGCTCGCTGCTGCCCTGCCCTTCCCTGCCTGCCATCGCGCAAACAAACAAACACACACACACACACACACACACACACACACACACACACACACACACACACACACACACACACACACACACACACACACACATTATTAATCATAGGGTAATAATTATTAATTATTAATCATCGCGCGGCGGCGCGGCGCGGCGCGGCGGCGGGCGGCGCGAGGCGGCGGCGCGGCAGCGGGCGACGCAGGGCGGGGCGGCGCGGCGGCGGATGAGGTAAAATTACTTATTTGTTAATTAATTACTAATTAATAATCATCGAGCGGCGGCGCCGCACGGGGCGGTGCGACCATCAGCAGACGCCCGGGCCTTTGGTCATTGGAGCTCGGCAATGGTCGCCCGCCGCCCTCGCTCAGGGGCTGCCTTCCACCCGTCGCTGCTCAGGCCGGGGGAGGGGGAAAGATCTCCTGTTCCGCGAAACGCGAGCAGGCCCCTCCTTGCCCGGCCTTCGATGCAGGGCGGTGGTCGTGCCATCGGCGCTTCGTACACACACACACCCCGCCGCAACCGTCGCCGGCGCGCGACACGTTCCCGTCGGCCGGACTGTCCTCGTCGAGTGTGTGCCGCCAAGGCGGGACGCACTCAGGGACAGTACCGACGGGACGCGGCTCGAGGGGCGACTCCCGCGAAGGCACGGCTGGCAACCGTGGCGCGGGGCTCGTCTTCGAAAAGTCCGCAACTCTCTCGCTGACATGCGCGCCCCGTCGACATTACGACGAGCGCGCTGCCTTCTTCCGCGTCATGACCACACCCCGCTGCAGCGAAGCTCCAATGCCGCCCCTCTGTGCATGTGACCTGTCGTTGTGGTGAAAGCGGTCTTCCCAGTTGAGACCGCCCCAGTTCTCGAGCGCACGGTTGATGAAGGGCACGGCGACGGCCGCATGTAGCGCCCAGAGACACGCGCGGAGCGCGCCGCTGCAGAACACGCGCGGAGCGCGCCGCTGCACAGGCGCGGAGCGCCGCCACTTGAGATTGGGCCTGTGGGTGGGCCGAGTGCTTCCTAGCGTGTGAGTCAACGCTGAATAGAAACCGCATCTAGCCCTCCACAACCCTCAAAATTTTCTTCGGGGCGCGCTCCGCGCGCGGCGCTCCGCGCCTGACTCCTTGAGCGGCGTAGGCGCTGGCTCGCACATGTTCTGCAGCTTGGCTTACAAGATCCTGCTCGTGCAGGTGGGGACCCTGTTCTTCATCCCACACCCCTCGTTTGGCGTGTGTCAGTTTTATGTATGTAAAAGAGTGAGCGCAAGAATTTCGTCAGGGGGGGGGGGGTGGAAACGAATCGGAAACGAATCGGAACCACCCGGAAACGCATATGAGCAAATGCTTAGACCTTAGTGCTCCAAAATACAAGCCTCTCGCACAGCACACTGGCGCGACAAGGGCGTGGACTGGCGCACACTAGAAAAAGAGAATTCCGACCCCGCGCGCACTGGCACCCTGCAATTAGCGCTCGGCTGGTGGTATGAGGCCTGGTGAGGGTGGAGGGAGACCCAGCCGCAGCTGCTGCGCTCGGTAGAGCTCTCTCCCGAAGTAATAGAGCTCGGTCGACAGCTGCGCGGCGTCGACGAAATCCGCGAGCACCTCGGGCCCGTAGCCGTACTTGCGCATCATATTCGCGATGCCATGGTGTTCAGCATGCTGTCCCCTCAGCTGCTTGCTTGCAACTTTGGGACAGGTGGGCCAGCCCAGGAGCTTGCAGAAAGCGCTGAGGCCTTCGTTGTACTCCTCAAGCAAAGCGATGCCCGCAAAGCTCAGCGCCAGCTCCTTGGCGTGCGTCAGCTCTGCTCGAGTGAAATTGAACCGCTGTGGGCGTGTGCAGTCGTCCTGTAGGTGAATGGGCAATGCCGCTGTATCGTTTAGGTGATTGCTGCTGGCCTTCAGCAATCTCCTCGCACGCCTGAGTGGTTTGAGCGAGGGCAGGTCGCAGTACGCGGCGGAATGTGGGAGGTGCGAGCGCTGCACATGCCCCACCCAACTCGAGAGCATAAACTCGGGAATGAAGCCATGCGCCAGAGCGAAGGGGACGGGGTGACGCATGATTGTCGTCCACACGATCTGGTCGCTCTCGACGGGTGCCCCGATCGGTAGCGCTGGCTCGAAAAAGGCCACGTCGATTGGCTCGTTGCCTTGCGCGTACGCGGGCTCGTGGCCTCCACAGCTAGGACTGCAGCAGTGGCCGTTGCGTGCGGATGCATTGGCTGTCAGGGCGACGAGCTTCGCCTCAAGCTGGCGTTGCTTTGCAGCCATCATCTCGCCCCCCCAGCAAACATTCCACGTAGGAGGGGAGTCCACGTAGGTGATCGCGGCACATCTGGGTGTGATGAGGCTGCAAGTGTCTCGAAGGATGATGCCTAGCAGGGTCGTGCCACCGTGGTGTGTCAGGTGCAGATGCGCGTGCATAGATGCGTTGGGCTGGGGTGGTCTGGCGGCTCGGCAGGTTCCAGCTGCGGTTGCGCTGCCACCGGTGCAATTCAGCGGCCGTCCTGAACGACTACAAAGGCTGTGCCTCTGGAGAGCCAAAGACATGGCATGCGCAGCCCTGGCCGATCGCGGAAGTGGCTGGTGCATGTCCATGCTCGCGGAGAGTGCCGCCGCTCGCTCCGAGAGGCCGTCGGCCTTCTTTTGGAGAGCGGTTGCTGCAACCCCTACTGCTGGGAGTGCTGACATGGCTGAGGCGTAAGCCCCAAGCTGGAGCAGCCGAGTCGAGAGCAGCGGCAGCGCATGGAAGTGCGCTGACTCATGGCGCCCAGTCGCATTGAGCGCCGCGAGGCATTCACTGGACACACCGAGCCAGTGCTTGATCGAATCAACCGAACGACCCTCTGCCGTTCGGTACATGGGCTGCTCCAAGCCAGAACAGGACGAATAATACGAGCTAGACCATGCATTGGGCGCGTTCGCAGCGCACAGGCTCAGCATTGGCGGCATGCGGCGACGCTGGCGGCAAGGTGGCGGAGGTGGAGGTGGCGAGGCTGGCGCGAGCGCTCGTGAGGCTGCCTGGCCGCTGGCGCGAGGGCGGGGTTGCACGGCGGGGTGTGAGACCGCACTTGTGTACGTACTTTTAGCTTACTGGGAGAAAAGAGAGAGGGGGTTGTGTTCTCTCTCTCTCACTTGTGTGCGAGAGGCGCGAGAGACACACAAAATTACACAAGCGCCCCGGCGGGCGGTCACGGTGTTTGTTTTTTGTTAATTTTGAGTCTCTCATTCACTGAAAGCATAACCCCGGGCCCGAAATCGCACAGTGACAGTCAGACATGCAAGACGGGGTCTCTCGTTCACCCTGCACTGCACTGCACTGGGATAGGGTCGATTCCCACATGGTACGGGACTTGGGCTTTACGTACGAGAGTTTCCTCTCGCACCCTGCCTGCCTGGTTTCCTTTCCGTGTTTCCTGCTAGTTTCCCTATATAGTTTCCTTGGGAAACTCCGTGGAAATCATCAATTTCACGGGCCGCTCTGAGCCGAGTCTGAGGCTGGTTTGGGCCCCAAATCAGCCAAATCGGCAAATACCGGGGTATTTTGCGGATATACCTGGAACCCCCCGGGTATACCTGGAAAATACCCGCGTAGTTTCATGCCGGTTTCCTCGGTTTCGCCTCAGATTTTGCCCCAAACGCAAACCAGCTCTCAGACTCAGGGAAACTCGAGAGTTGCCAGACAGACAGAATGGAGCAGGAATGGAGCACCAAACACCCTCTGGATTCCCTGGAAACTTCCGGAAACTCAAAGTGCTGGGGACCCTCTGCGCTCTGGTTTCCCTCTGGGTTGCCGGAAACTCTCGTAAAGGCCAATACGGGACCCCTAAAATCAGCTGGTTTGGGCCCAAAATCAGCCAAATCGGCAAAATACCGGGGTATTTTGCGGGTATACCTGGAAAATACCCGGTATGTTGCCGCTTTTCTCGGTTTCGCCTCAGATTTTGCCCCAGACCAGCTCTCAGACTCAGGCAAACTCGAGAGTTGCCAGAATGGAGGTTGGAGCACCAAACACCCTCTGGTTTCCCTGGAAATTTCCGGAAACGAAAAGTGCTGGGGACCCTCTCGTTTCCTTTTTGGTTTCCGGAAACGTGTATGCAGGCCAACGTCCCCCCTCTCCATCATCTCACTGGGAGACGTCGGCGGTGATGGTGGTGCGACCGATCGAGCTACAAGAGGAGCTTTTGTTCAGCATGACGCCCCCCAATGAACACACCAGTGAGGGAGGGCGAGACGATCGAGGGGTCCCATACCATGCGGAATCGACCCTATCAAGTGCTGAAGTGCTGCTGAAGCATGACGCAAGGCCGCAGGCGCAGCGCCGGACCGAGCAAGTTCCTCACTTCCTCACTGGGTGGGTGGGTGAGCTCCATTCATTCAGTCTCAAGCCCGTTCATGCCGTCGTCCTAGCTGTGACCTGTGTGGCAGGGGCCCAACCCCGCACACGGCGGGTCCCCAAGGGTGGGTGAACGCCTCTCGCGGGGACCTCCGCGCCGGCCGCGCCTCGATGCGCCCCCGCTGCCCCTCGCTCGCTGCCCTCGCTCGCCGCCCCTTGCGAAACTCCCACCCTGTCCCACCCGTGTGTGATCAGTGTCTACAGACGGGAGTATCTTTGGCTCACGCCAGGGCGCTCGTTGCTCCTCCGTCGCTTTGTATCTCCATATACTGCGTTTATCAGAAGACCATCTGGTGCAACGGAATTGGCTGGATTCTTCCCCTGGCCCTTTCTGCAGCCCAACGCGCGGAGCGGACGTCGCGGGTGTTCTCGTGAGAAGTGGCGGAAGCGTGCTCCCGCGTGTTCCTCGAGGTGCGCACGGATTCCCGCAGCTGCGGCTCACTCACGTTCACATTCCCTCATCCACCACATACTCTCTCTCTCTCGTGCACGAGCAACGCATACTCTCTCTCTCTCTCTCACTGATCTCTCTCTCTGCTCGCGCGCTCTCTGGCTCATCGCTCCTTTCTCTCTTGATGACGCCAGGGCTCGATGAATTTCAACGACAGACGTGATCATGCTTGGATCCGTGAGCTGCGCTCCCGCTTGGCAGATATTGCGGAGCCCGGACGTTTAACATGCGCGCTTCACGATCTTCGCTCGAGCTTCGATGTGCACCAGCTTCTCAATATCGTTGAGGATACACGGTCTGCATGGAGACATGGGAGCCCATGGGGCCATAACAACAGCTTAGGCGGGACACCATCTAAGCTCTACGAGCTGGGCATAGTCAGTTCGCCAACACTCCCTTATGGGCCTGATGACAGCCTCCGTGAAGACCAGGCACTAGCGATCTTTGCCTACACGCTTGAGACACCCAGCGTGTACGTGAGTATGAATCGTGCCATGTTTGATCGAGAAGCACGATCTCCTTCCGGTCCGGCTGTGGACAAGCTGCAATCGTGGCTGAAGTTCATCAAATTTCTCAAGCTGCTCTTACAAATTTGCCGGAGAGCTTCATCTTCCGAACCTCTGATACTGGATCGCCTTGCTATCGTGGAGTCAAGCATGTGTTTCCTGGCTATCCGGGTGGGCCTGATCCTATGAGGCAAGAGCACAACCCAGTAGCGCATTATCCTGCCGAGTCATTCATCTGCTGGTATCAATTTTGCTCCACCTCTTATGATCGATCGGTGATGGACAACTCCCAGTTTTGTGGGCATAGACCTGGACCACGCACAATCTTTGTCGTGCACGTGCACTGCGGCTATCGGATTGAGGCCTTGTCCTGGTATGGGCTTGCCGAGAAAGAGGTGCTGCTTCCACCATTGAGTGAGTTCCAGGTGAAGGGCGAGGCGCTCAAATTGTGCAATCCTTCTGCCTCGGTCAGCCTGGATCAGGGGTTCCCAGATGTCATTCAGCTTCGTCAGCTGCCGTCGGCTGAGTCGCTACAGCACCAAATTGAAAGTCTCCAAAGACAACTTCGTGCGATACCTTCTGAAATATGGCGACAGGACTCGTTTCGATGCGCGCTCATCGAAGGTGGACCGAACATACTCATTGAACGGGGACCGGATTCACTGCGCCTCCCCAAGTCCATCGCAAAAACTTGCGATGCCATTGGCCAAGGTTAGTCCAGGCATTCAAAGACCAGCGATGCGTCTTTGTCATCGCTGAACTCTCTAGTGATGCCAATTGGTCGAGTACATCTTACAGCAGCGGAATGAGGTAGCGGCCTATGCTACCAACTTCAACAAGTGCTGGACGAGAGCTCGCATGAGCAATTCAGATAATGCCTATGGCTTCTATCACTACATGGGCCATGAGCCAATGGGCCATGAGCCACTCCTTCTCGCACCGGAAATCACTCGCCGCATCGGAAACAAATGGTGGGGTGGATGTGAAGGTCCGAAGCATGGAACGCTCAAGGCATTGCTGGTCGAGGTACAGCAAGACCTCGAATCTGGGGTAGCGTCTGCAACGTTTTTGACTTCACCAAGAAGTAAAGGACGCTCTGCTCGAGATGATAAGACTGGCCTGCATGGTCAACGAACACTTCTTGCGATTGTCCATCCTGGCGTATGGACATCGGTGCTGTACACATTCACGGACGAGGGTGCTGAAGCGAATCCTCGATGCCGCATTGAACGGTTCGATATCCCGACCCCGCGGTGGGGCGCACCCATGATGATGCAAGAAGTGTAGCAGTTCTTCTCCGAAACTGTGATCACTTAATCGGAGCATGACTCCATGGCACTGCAGACCGCTCTCACAGTCCCCCCTTCGTCTAGCTACTTTCCCAGCGCGTATAAGTCTTTTCGCGCACCCGCCACGTGTCGGCTAAAACCGGGTTACTTCAAAGGTCGTTTTTGGTGTGAGCTTGCTCGCGCTCAGAGTCGGTAGGCTCCGGGGTAGGGTCGCAGGTGAGACGGGTGTGCTGCTCCTGCTGCTGGCGCCCGCGCTCCGAGGCGCTCCGCGCGCGGGGTGCGCGCCGCCGCGTGCGCGCTCGGTGGACGGTGCACCATGTATGCGGTGCGCGCGGCTCTTGCGCAGTGGTAAAAATAAATGAGCCAACTCGTAACTCCGGGGGGCGCCTCTCGCAGCGCGCAGCGGGACTCAGCGCGCGGCGACCGGCGGGGGGGGGGGGGGCTCGGGCCCCGTGTGTGGGGGGGGGGTCCCCCTTAAGAAGGGGAAAAACGCCGTCCCAACCCGCCGAACACCCCGCCGCTGCCTCGGCGTGGAGATGGCCTCGATGTGCCGAGAGCTGCAAGCGGCAAGGTGCCTGCGCAGGGGATGACGCAGACGTCTCAGCGCCCACGAGAAAGGTGAAGCGAAGCCGTCTCTGTCCGCAGAGTGAATGAGAGCATGCTGTCTTCGGCAAGAGGGGCGCAGAGTTTGCCTGGCAATGGTGCCCCGCTCCCGTCGATTGACGGGGGTGGTGGAGACGGCGGTGCGGCCAAAGCGGCTCGCACCATGCCCCACAAGAGCGCCACGTTGGTTTGCTTCTCGACCGACACCGCGATGAAGGGGTGCGCCTCCGCCAGCGCGTGGATCTGGGGCAGCGGGCATGGACGGCGGTCCGTCTTGCTGCACACCTTCGGGAAATCAGGGGCGGGGGCGGCGGGTGAGGCGTCGGGCAGAGGCATGGCCAGGGAAGGGGAGAGGGCGTCGGCGGCAGCAGTGACAGCGAGCGCGCGTCTGGGCGGCGCGTACCACGATCGCCGCCCCCTGTCCGTCTGCGCGCAAGTGGTCTGCGACGTACTCGGCGAGAGAGGCCGCTCGAGCGACGCCTCCCACACGACGAGGCTGAGCTGCACGGCGACACTGTGCGGCGGGGCACCATCGACGTGGCGCTCGATCGGGAGGTCGATGCCTTCGGCGGCGGCGATGGTGCGAAGCGCCTCCACGAGGGCACTGCCGCCGACGCCCCTCTCGCCCAACACCAGCACGCGCGCCGGACCGCCATCGGCAGAGTCTGCGACCACGGGCGCACAGGCGTCTTCGGAGCCGCCAGAAGGCGTGGGGCGGGGCGCGTCGGCGGCGTAGTTCTCATCGGACTCGCCGCAGACATCGCCACTGTCGCCGTCAACGGTGATCTCAGGGATCGTACCCAAGTTTCTGAGGTGGTGGGAGTGACGGCGCATCTCGCAGACGACGCGGTGCATTGCAGCAGCCCGTGTCTCCGGCGACCACGAGAGGAGCAGCGCGATCAGCACTGCCTGCAAGCAAAGGTGGGGATGTATCTGGTCCTTCCCCCAGCCCTACGACCTAGCTTGGGGTCTCCACCCTACTTATACCTACCTAGGAAGAGCTTGACAATGATCAATGTACAAACAAGACAACAACAAATACCCTAGAAAGACAGCCCCGCGGGAGCTCGAGAGGCAGCTCGACCTGGCCTGAATCACCGGTTGTTCCGCCAGACGATCGATAGAGTTAGGATAGGAGGGGTCCCGTACCATGCGGAATCGACCCTATCCAGTGCTCAAGTGCTCAAGTAGGCAAAGAGAGACAGACACGAGATCGAAGCTCTCGAAGCTGCTTGGGATTGCCCCCTCCCCCAGGCTGTACCGGCCGCAGACGCCGCGACCCGCCAGGTCGTCCTCGCCAGACGACCTCGATTGGAAATGGGGGTAACTCTCTCTCTCTCTCCCAAATTCAAACAACACAAAATCAAATTCACACCTCGCGGGACTACTTGTGTTTTCGTAAACGTAGTTGTTGCCCCCCGCTACGTCGCACGACTGCGACTGGGGAGAGGGGGGCTAATATGTACTAAATTTGCGCTAAATTTGCGCTAAAGTCGCGCTATATACGCACTCGAACACTAAAATCGCTAGCCGCTCTCTCTGCAAGAAACCCGAGATCGAAGCCATTCGAATTCTGGGATTGCCGCCTCGAGCCGCCAGCCCACCCCCGGCAGCAAGCCAGCCATGTTTTCCCTCTCTTTCTTCCAGGGGCACCTCCTCCCCTCCTCATGCTCTGCCCGCCATGCTCCACCCGTCATGGCCCCGGCCCATCGCGCCACCTGGGCAACTCAGGGCGTCCCCGAGTTTGGACTCGGTCGAGTGCCGAGGATCGCTTCCACTCGGGGAAGCACGGCAGTTCGCACGCCTTCCGCGGGAGGGACGAGGGACGCGGCGCCGGCGGCCCCCGCGCGCGTGGCGGACGACGCTGCGCGCGCGGCCTGGCTTGCAGCGGTCGACATGGACAAGCTTGGGTGGAAGGGAGCGGCCGCGCCCGCGCCGCCAGTGGCTGCCCCCGCCGAGGTTGCGGCGCCTTCCGCGCCGGCGAGCAGCGCCGGCGGGGCGGCTGCCAAGGCCGCCTGGCTGGCCTCCCTCGACACGGAGCCGTCGTGGAAGGGCGACGGCCTCGCGGCGCCGCAGCCGGCGCCAGCGGCACCCGCGACGGCGGCGGCGGCGACGAGCGAGGCGGCGGCCAAAACTGCGTGGCTGGCGTCGCTCGACCGCGAGCCATCGTGGATGGGAGCGGCCGCGGCCGCACCGGCGCAGGTGGGCTCCGCGGTGCCCCCACCCGCGCACGAGCCGTCCGACGAGGAGAAGGCCAAGGCTGCCTGGCTGGCTTCCCTCGACAAGGAGCCGTCGTGGAAGGGAGGCAGCTCGGTGGTCGGCGTGCCTGCGTCGGCCGCCGCCGGCGTTGCCGCGCCGGCGAGCACCAGTGAGGCGGCTGCCAAGGCCTCCCCCCTCCCCCCTCGAACGCCTCGACAGCCCACCCTCTTTCACCCCGCCTCTGGCCAAGCGTAGGCCAAGTGGCTCGCTAGCCTGGACTCTCAGCCGTCTTGGAAGGGCCGCGGGTCGGGCGCGCCGACGGCTCCAGTGGTGGTGCACGCAGCGGCGGCGGTTGGGCCCACCGCCGCGGCGCCTCCCCCGGCGGCGGCGAGCACCGGCGAGGCGGCTGCCAAGGCCGCCTGGCTCGCCTCCCTCGACAAAGAGCCGTCGTGGAAGGGAGTCGCCGTGCCGACGACGGCTCCGGTGGCGGGTGCTGCGGCCGCGACGGTCCGCCCCCCCCCCCCCCGTCCTGAATCCCACTCCCCCCCTCCTTCCCTCTCCCCGCCTCCGGCGCTCCGCTCCCCGCCGTCCAACGCCGCCGCCCCCACGCCCCTGATTAGGGCCGCGTCGTCCCGACAGCCGAGCTTGGCTCCGTGGCTGAGCGCGAGGTGGCAGCGAAAGCAAAGTGGCTCGCGATGGTGGAGCAGGGAAAGTAGCGCGCTGGCGCCGCGCGCCGCGCTCGGCGCCATGCTTGAGCTTGTGTACAGTAGCGGCGGCGGTGCCGTGCGTGGCCATCGCTGCTTGCGTCGTGTTGTGCGTGATTTCATGTCTCGGGTGGGGGTCCGTGGGGGTGTGCGGTCTCGCCGCGGGGGGGCCGTGCGGGTGTTTTCGGTGAGCTCCATTTTTTGCGGTGCCGCGCAACCGGCGCAGGCGTTTGCGGTTTGGCTTTTTCAGACCGCCACAGAGAGAGAGGTTGCGGTTTCATGCGGTTTGACGCGGCTCACTTGGGACCAAGTCTCAAGTGCGAAGTGCCATGAAGTGGTCGCAGAGTGCTGGCCAGATTTGAGATTACTGGTATAGCCCCCAGAACAATAAAACACTCTAGTCTCTACGGCCAAAACAATCAAATGGTGGTAAGAGTTACCACGACTTCTGAGGCAAAATCTGACAAAAATCGGAGAAATCGGCAAAATACCCGGTATTTTCCAGGTATGCCCCGGGGGTTTCCCAGGTATACCCGCAAAATACCCGGTATTTTGCCAATTTGGCTGAATTTGGCCGCAAACCAACCCCAGACTCGGCTCAGATCCCGAAAAATTGATGATTCCACGGAGTTTCGTAATTTACCAGACCACTCTCTGTACTCTGACTCTGCTCATACCATACCACTCCCCAGGAGAATCAAAAAGTGGTCAATACCACTCTTTTACCAGAGTAAATGGCCATCACTGACACTTGAGACTTGAGTCACTTGTGTGCTCGACTAGAGCTGTCAAACGTTTAAGAGCTGAACAGTGTTGCTAGTGAGTAGTGTTAACACAGTAACAACAGAACAACAGTGGGATCCGCCAACGACAATAGTTAACGTTAGGCCGGCTGGACAACAATCCCAAAGAGCTAGAGAGCGCCGCCTCGCCCTCGCCACCGCCGCCCAGCACGCCGCCGCCACCTTCCCCTCTCCGCCGCGCTCGCCGCCGCCGCCCTCCGGCTCGACGTCGCCACCGCCGCCCACGCCGCCGCCACCTTCCCCTCCGCCGCGCTCGCCGCCGCTGGTAGGACGCGAGGCGACCGGCGAGCGAGCTCACTCACTTTGGCGACCGCATGCCGGTCGAGCCCTGCGCCTATGAGCAGGAAGCGCTCCCCCCTACCCGGCTAATAGGAGAAAAACACGCCCTCCCTACTCATTTGTTTGCCCCCGCCCCGGAATACAGCGGGGGGGGAAGTGGGTCGCTGGGGTGTTTTTCTTTTTTGCCAGTTTTCTTTTTCCCGCGCCACGGTGATGGTCTTGGTCACGTCGTAGGGCTGCGGCGGCACGGTGATCTTGAAGCGCAGCATGTCCATGTCGATGATGCGAGGCTTGTGGACGTGCGTGGGCGGGTGTTGGAGGAGTGGATCAGGCCGTACGCGCTGCCGTTCATGTACTTCTCGATGAACCGCCGGTCGAGCGGCGTGAGGCGGTCGGGTACGATGCCGACGGAGTTGAGGAGCGCGTAGAGGTCGACCGAGTCGGACGCCGTCACGTAGTAGTGTCCCTGGTGTGGGGTGACCTGAATCTGCTCGTCATCCACATTGTCGTATCCGGCGTGGATGAGGCAGCACTCGAGGACCGAGTTGATGACGTCGACGGGGACGTTGGCCTTAATCTTGAGTGCCTTATCCATGCCCTCGAAGAGGTCCTGAGGGGGCGCCAAAATTTTGTGGGTTATATCATGTGCAGCAGGGCTGGTGTGCATTGCATGTGGTCTAGTGTGGGCGGGCTATTGTTTTCGTGCGCGCGGTCCTGAGTTCGAATCTCGGGTCTTCGCGTAGCGACGCGTAGCCGCGCAGGCGCGCGGGTGCGTGGTGCGCGTGCCGTGCAGTGCAGCAAGCGAGCGAGCGAGCGAGCGAGCGAGCGAGCTGAGCTGCGCTGCGCTGCGTCGCGAGTGCGCCGGCTGTTCTTTTTTGTGTGTGTTTGCTTGTGATGCTGATGGTGTGTAGGTGCCGGGCGCCTGATTTGGCGGTGTTCTGAGAGAGCGTTCGGTCTGTGTGTGCGCTGTCTCTCTGGGCATTTCTGCGTGCAAGGCTCGCTGTGTCTGGGCTTGGGTCCTGCGCGCGCCTGGTCCGCGCAGGGGTTGGGCGGTCCTTTGAAGGTGCCGTCGGCGGAGCGCTTAGGCGATTGGGCCCGCGGTGGCTCCTCCTCGGAGGCGGGCGCAGCGAGATGCGAGTTCATTCTGGGTTGCTGAAGGAACTGTTGTTCACAGCTTAGGGTCTCTACGTCAGTACGTCACAGTTCTCAGTTGGTTCTGCACTGGGTTGGATTTTAGGCAGAGAGCGTGGCGGTGGGATGTTCGGGCACACGCTCCCATCGCATCGCACCCCTCGTCACATATACTTTATCAGTATCACCCTCCTGCGGGGACGGTCTCTTTGAGGCATGCGCAGCGCACAAAAAAAAACACCAACCGCAGAGCTCTGTGTCATCGTGCGCCGGCCGCTTGTGCTGGCGCCTCCGGCTCCGCTTTCGCGCACCACCAGTCGCCCGCCCCGCCCCCTATCCTCTTCAGTCCCCTCCCCCGCCGCCCCGAGAGCGCGCCTTCTTCCTCCGGGCGTGCAGCTTCGCCGCCCTCTTCGCCTGCCGCCAGAGGCTCGCGTTTGCCCGCCGCCGCTGCTTCGCGCTCGCCCACTCCGCCTTGGCCGCCGCCGGCTCGAGCACGCGCACGTCGATGGGCGCGGCCGGGTCGGTGGCCGAGAGGAGCGCGTCCGTCGCCCGCTCGAGGTCCTAGAGAGAGAAGCTTCCGAGAAGGGTCCGTGGTGTGCCATCTCTGTCTCTCGGCTACATCTTGGCGAGAGCTCGAGGTCCTCGTGGTGCGCGTCGCGGCTGGCGGCGTTGCGCTCGGCCGCCGCCTGCACACTGCCCAAGCTGGGCAGGGCGGCGCACTCGGGCAGCCGCGCGTCGAGCAGCCTGGCCGCGGTGAGCCACTCCGACTGCGCGTCCGCGCGGCTCGCCGAGAGCTTGCCGTTGCTGCGGTTGGCGAGGACCCACGGCTTGGCACCGTTCCAGTGCAGCACGCACGCGCCGCACCAGCGCGCCTTGCCCGAAGCCATCCCCGCGCCCGAGCCCGCCGCCGCCGCAAGCGACGCCGCACCCAAGCCTCCCGCGCGGCGGCCCTCGGGCGGGCCGGGGTGCACGCCGTGGGCGGGCCTACCGGGAAGGGTCCGCGAAAGGTCGCGTGCCAGTGTCCTTGGGGGGCAAGGCCGCTGCTCGCCCAGTGTGCAGAGGGCCGGCTGTACAGCCCGCAGCACGTCTCCACCTCGCAATTCATGCCGGCGCCCAAGGACGCGAAGCCGTACGCGCAGCCGAGGAGCTGCATTGGCGGCTGCGACTGCCCCTGCGCCTCATCCCAGAGGGCGTCCTGCCGGTGCATGCTGAGCAGCGCCTCGAAGGCTGCCGTCGCGCCGGCCTTCCGCCACCGGTCCAAGTAGAGGAGGGAGACGCCGGCGTTGAAGGCGCTGTCTGAGTGTGGCACGCACTCTCGAGATCACCCGAGATCACCCGAGATCACCCGAGATTGCGGTGAAGGCGCTGCCGCCTGCGTGCGGCACGCACTGCCGCAGCGCCTCGCGCTGCGGAGGGCCGATGGGCCCGGCAGGCGCGCCGGAGCCGGCGGCGGCGGCTCGGCGGAGGGTGCGGCTGATGGTCTGGTTGAGGCCCCCCTTCGACCTCGCTGCGTCGCGCAGCGCCACGGCGACGACTGGCTCCTCGAGATGCCACGGGGCGGCGCCCGCTCCGGCGAAGAGGTGGGAGAGGTCGCAGCGCACGACTGTGTCGGCGTCGAGCCACAGCGTGCGCTCCACCGCCGGCAGCAGGTCCGCGAGGTAGAAGCGGACGAAGTTCTCCCGGGCACGGAGGTCGCGCGCGTAGCGGACGCCTTTGCTCTGCCGGCGGCGCGGCTGCGCCTCCACCGCGGCAGCGGTCGGGTGGTTCTCGTCCGAGGGGAGGAGCCGCGCGAGCCCGCGCCGCACCGCCGCCTGCGGACGCACACCAGCGGACGTGTGTCGTGGGCGCGTCGTGGGCGTGTCATGGTGGACGTGTCAGCGGGTCGACGTGTCGTGGACGTGTCATGGACGTGCCGTGGGCGTGTCGTGGGCGTGTCGTGGATGTGCCGTGGGAGGCGGCGGTGTGTCGCGGCGGCGGCGGGTGGTGAGGAGGGTCAGGTGATCGGCGGCCCAGCGAGGAGACAAGCGTCTCGCAAGCGTCTCGCAAGCGTCTCGCAAGCGTCTCGGAAGCGTCTCGCAAGCGTCTCGGAAGCGTCTCGGAAGTGTCTCGGAAGCGTCTCGGAAGCGTCTCGGAAGTGTCTCGGAAGTGTCGCGGCGCCGTCTCAAAGTCGACCACGCGCAGACGGAGCCTCCCGCCCGCGAGGCGCGGATGCTGGGCGAGGCTGGCGGCGAGGCAGCGGCGCAGGGCGTGCGCCGCCGGCAGGGAGGCCGTCGTCGTCACCAGGTGCACGTGCAGCCGCGTCGACGGCCGGCTCGAAGCGACGGCAGAGGCGATGCTTGCTCCGACGGCCGGGAGGAGGGCAGCGTCGGCGGCAAAGGCGAGGTGGACCACCGTCGTATCCGTCCCGCCTCCCACCGGCGCCGACGTCGCGGCGCCGGCGTCGCAGTCCCATGTTGTCTTGCACGCGACTCGGCACACATCCCACACCACCCTGCGGTTCAAAACCTGCCACGCGCGGCAGCGCGGCGGCTCGCCACCGCCGCACGGACCGGCCGAGCTCCGCAGCCACCTCGGCCCAGAAGACGGAGCTGCCGTTCACGTTCACACATCGTCGTCAAGCGAGAGATCACATGAATCGTACGGATAGATCGATGTATAAGGAAAGAGACGCCCCCCGCGCTTTTCACAAGACACACGAAAAACGGACGCACACCAAGCGCTAAGCGTGAGGACGCGATTTCGAATTCGGAGGTGCATCTGAGCAAAATTGGGCCCCCTCAGGTGTGAAAAAAATTATAAGGGTCATAGTCCCGATTCGATCCGGAAGCCACTCGACCATCGAGAGGCCGACGGCCGAAGTCGGCAAACGTAGATCAAATGGTTAGAGATAGCGTCCACTCAGTGACCGAAACCCGTAACACATTACGGTACCGAGGGAATTAGACACCACAGATACGCACAACCGACGCCCGAAGTGCCAAGAAGGACGTCATTAGTACGAAACCTCAGAAGGCCATGGGCGTCGAGAGAACATTCCCTCGAGAGGACAAAGAAAGGCGACGCACCCCCTCCTTGCGCAGTGTCCCCCGCTATGTGTCGCCAATTGGGGCACGCTATCCTGTGCAGTCAGGGCAAGCGGGGGCGGGGGGCACTCCCCCTGGTCTGATACTGGGGTGTGACTGTCTCCAGTCTCGGAGGGGGGCAAGAAGGTAAGAATATCTAATTTTCACAAGACACAGAGCTCCGAGCGCGCGGATCCGGAGCCCCGCGGTGTTGCCGCCCGCTGCTTGTGCTTCTCTCTCTCCACTCTCTCGGATGTCATGACACACGCGACCCCCAGGGTCAAAGAGGGCGAGTGGCAAGTGCGGAGTGCGCGCTTGGCCATGTCTCTTACGTGTTATTCATGGGGGTCACAAGAGACATGACCGACAACACCCTCTAGACTAGGGCTGAAAACCTCAACACAGGGCAGAGACGTAGGCTGACAGCGCTGCGGGCCCCGTGCCGGGATCGAGCCGGCCACAGGCCGTGGCTCAGAGCGCTAACGCTCCGAGCCACCGCTGCACGCACGCTAGACTGCCACGATCAGACACTCCTCTCATTCCGTGTACCCACCCACCCTCACGCACAGTTAATAGTGTTCAGCGCCCACTCAAGGACCGCGCATGCAGGGGTGGTCGGATGATCGATCTGCAAATTACATGCGCGCCTTGCTTGGTTGTGTTCGCTTCCACTCGCAGGACTGTGTCCTCAAGGGTTCTTGTCGCCCATGTTCTGCTTACTGTTGACCAGCATGTAGACGGCGACGGCACCAAACCCGAGTGTCAGAGCGAGCGTGGGGGCGCCCAGTCCGATGATGATCTTCTCCCCCAGCGATAGGCCGTCATCCTTGGGGTCGTCGCAAGTGGGCGGCTGCTGAAGAACGTCGGAGAGCCGCACGTAGACTTCGTCCCACTCCGATTCGTCATCGACGACATCGGTGTCGGATTCCTCAGTCGCATTGTCGGTTTGGAGGCGGCGTCCACCAGCCGGGGGCTTCATCTCTTGGCGAATTGCTTTCATCGTATTGTCTGGAAACGCGTGTTTTCCGATCGAGTCGGTGACGCCCGCCTCCGAATTGATGACGTACATTTTGATTTTGGTTTTATCGAACGCTTCTTTCCCAATCTTCTTCAAGCTCGTGCAGAATGCAACGTCCAGGCACTGATTCGAAGCGGTCTTGTACTGCTCGTACATGTTGTTCCCCTGTAAAAAGGGAAGGTCGTCGACACACGTCTCTCCAACGAGATTCGTGGCTTTGTAGAAAGCTTTCTCGCCAAACGATTCGATGTTGCACATCGCACGACGGGAGGCCGGAGGGTTTGGAATGCTCATGAGCTGGCGCTGTGGAAGTTTGAGCATCCCGACGTTGGACTCTTCAAAGGACGACTCGCCGAACTCCGTGAGCTGATCGCATTCGGAAAGGTCAAGGGTGAAGGGGGTGTTACTGTTCGAACCGGCATTCTTGAAGGACTCCTTGCCAAATTTTTTGATCGAGCAGACAATGTTTGTCTTCGGGGGGCCTTCGAGCAGTTCAATGCGGGGCTCGATCTTCACAGATTCCATGAGCTTGCAGTCTTCGAAGGCCTCTTCGCCGATGATCTCTACGGTTGGCGAGATCGTCAGCGTCTTCAGCTTCTTGCAATCTTTGAACGCGCTTTTGCCGACCGTCTTGACGCCTTTTGCGAGGATCAGCGTCTCCAGCTTGTCGCACTTTTTCACAGCTTCCTGCAAGCAAAATCAACATAAGTGCGCAAAAATGCGTCGGGCAGAATGAACTATTTGGGACCGCGCCTCAGGAACATCTTTGGTACACGTCAACTTGCCCTTGTTGTCGACGTCAGCGCAGGTGCACTCCGCGACCACGCCTAATGATCCAGGGGGCGAGTAAGCGTCGCCAGCCGCTTGGGAAGGGGGAGCGCTCGGCGCTTCACCAGCCAACTTGGTCGAGATCGTGAACAGCACGAGGAGGTGGTACAGCGCCATTATTGCTTGCCTGTGGAGGGCGGTCAATGAGTGAGTCAAAGCAGGACGAGCGCTAACTCGAGGACGCGTCGATGGTGCGCGTCATAAGCACGGGCGCTTGCATTGGATGTGCACAACAGCTATACGCGCATTGTGGAGGTGTACGGGGTCTGAATGCGAGGGGACGGGGACGGGGGACAAAGTCGGTAAGCCTGCGGCGGTGCGGCGGCGGCGGCGGGTGGGGGGGTCAAGTGGCGGCCCAGCTGGCTGGCAGAGGGGACCGCTCAGCGCCGAAGGGCGGCGGAGGGCGGCGGAAGCGGCGGCGGTGAGGGCTGCGGAGGCGGCGGCACGAGCGGCGGCGGGGGCGAGGGCGGCGGAGGCGAAAGCGGCTGCAGCGGTGGCGGTGGGAAGGGAGGGGGGAGGGCGGCGGCGGCGAGGGCGGCGGCAAGGCGGTGACGGCGGCGGCGGCGAGGGCGGCGGCGACGGCGGCGGCGGTGACGGCGGCGGCGGCGAGGGAGGCGGTGGCGAGGGCGGCGGCGGCGAGGGCGGCGGCGGCGAGGGTGGGGGCGGAGACGGTGGCGGCGAGGGTGGCGGAGACGGTGGCGGCGGCGAGGGCGGCGGAGAGGGTGGCGGAAACGGTGGTGGGGGCGAGGGCGGCGGCGAGGGTGGCGGAGACGGTGGCGGTGACGGTGGTGGGGGCGAGGGCGGCGGCGAGGGTGGCGGAGACGGTGGCGGCGAGGGCGGCGACGGTGGTGACAGCGGCGGCGGCACGGAGGGCGGTGGGGCCGACGGCGGCGGCGAGGGCGGCGGCGGCGAGGGTGGGGGCGGAGACGGTGGCGGCGGCGAGGGCGGCGGCGAGGGTGGCGGAGACGGTGGCGGTGGCGAGGGCGGCGGAGACGGTGGCGGTGATGGTGGCGGCGGCGAGGGTGGCGGCGATGGTGGCGGAGATGGTGGCGGCGAGGGCGGTGGCGGCAAGGGCGGCGGCGGCGAGGGCGGCGGTGGAGACGGTGGCGGCGGCGACGGCGGTGGGGGCGAGGGTGGCGGACTGGGCGGCGGAGAGGGCGGCGGCGGTGACGG